TTTTTCTATAATTCTCAGTCTAAAGTAGTTAAATCGAGGATTACCCACAAAAAACTATGAATCCAGGGTTGCTGCTGCCACGTCACTTCACTTAATATACTGTAATATCTTTTTCTTTTCGAAATATGAGTCATCTTATTGACTTGCTTGTTCTATTGATTGAAGCGCCGTTGGCTGATGCAATTAAACCAATGGTGAACTCTCCGTCAGAAAGAGTCTTTCAAAAACGTTTTGAAAGGCCTTCATTTCCGTGAATTCGCCGGAAAGGGAAGTTGCTGCCGGTAAAGGTACGTCTGCATGTTTTTAATTTTGTATTTATTATTGATTAATAACTGCTGCAAAGATATATTATTCATTTTATTATCATTAAATATCAACGACTGAAATCTAATCTTTTTTGAATTCATAAATTGTGAGCAACCCTGCAACAGATATATAATAATTTCATATTATGTCAATCATATTATCCATGTGACAAACAATACGGTCCCTACCGTATTTCATGTTTTTTGAGGACAAACAACAATTGTAATAATTCGTCTGGTTTCAAGTTTCAATATTCTATCAAATGAGGCTCCAGCAATTGTCGATGTTAAATGTCAATTAGCTCGTAATATCGATATTTGGCATTTAGTTCACTGTTCGATGCATTGGCCTGCAGCCTATCCGACTTTTTCGAGATTTGCTTATTGTAAGTCCTTGCATGATATCCATCAAAAAAAAATTCAAAATTGCTGTTGTTAACGTCTATAAATCGTTATTGGTTAGATCCGTAAACAAGTTGAACACTTTGGGATCTTTAAGTGAACAATAGCCATAGGCCTACGAAGGTTTATATTTAGGATTTTTTCTCATTGATGTGGGGTGGGGATTTTGTACGATTAAATAGGCATTTTGTAATAGTAAAGCAATTGATATTAAATCGGTTAATAGACATATTTAACAATTTGCGGGTTAGTGCATAGGGGGTGTGTATTAAGGCATTATTCATTCAAAACCACATTGCATAAAACGCCAAAATGACGATATAACAACAACAAATTAGAAGAAATATTAGGCCCCTATATAAAGCGACCATTAAAGAATGCATTTTGGCCTGCATTCGGATTGATTGGGAGGCAGACATCCTAAATAACCTACAGCTGCACGCCATCAATATCGCAGGAGAGCCAATGGGATTGGAAGGTAAGCATCTTAACCACCGCTACAGCTTCACAATATATCAACATTGCAGGAATTGAACCCAGGACCCTGGGATTGGAAGGCATGCATCTTAGCCACCACGCTACAGCTCCACTCCATCAACATTGCAAGAATTGAAGCCAGGACCCTGGGATTAGAAGGCAAGCATCTTAACCACTAAGCTACAGCTCCACTCCATAAACATTACAGGATTTGAACCTAAGACCCTGACATTGGAAGGCAAGCATCTTACCACAGAATTACTGTGGAATTTTAAAATTACTGCAGAATTTTAACCCATGGATGGACCTGGTGTTGGAAGCGTTCAAGCATCTTTAATATACCGTAGCCCAAAAGCTATGTGACAGACATTAAATTCTGCTGGGATGATGTATTATGCTTATGAGAATTATGTTTATTTACTGTTAATTTGGGAGCGTTTTCAAAGAAAATAAATATTAGTTATTAGATGCATTTTCGAATGACATGGAGAATCTGATAGTGTAAAATGCTGACGAACTAGCCATATCCTTCTGAAATAAAGTTCAAATGTCCCCCTTGCTAAACGAGATATGAAATCCGTTTGTTATTGCACTATCCGGTTCATCAATCAATTATGAAATAATTTAATTAACTTGCATGGCTTATTACCATTATATTCCATACGCTTGAAACAACTGCAGTAATCGTATGTGCGAAATACTGACCTATCATGGTAACCATATTTTGATGACAAATGGAATCGGATATTTCAATACATGTTTTATTGAAATAGTCACATCATGAAAATGATGTAGCCTAAATCTTGTGTGCTACTGTATTCTTATAAAATAAAGCATCATTATTATCGTTCTATCGTTCTGTCATTGCTTGTTTATTCATACTCATCATCATCAACATCATTGATTTTTATTATAATTAAGCATGATAATAACTAAACAATAATAATAATAATACAGTTATGATGTTGAAGATGTTGTTGTTGATGATGATGAGGCTGATAATGGTAATAATGATAATGATGATGTGGTGATGACATGATGATGATGGTGAGGAGCAGATGGTGATGATGGTGTTGATGATGATTTATAGGGTACCGTAAATGCTGCAATAAGCGCCTCGGCGCTTATAACTTTTTATGGAGGCTTTCAGTGCGGCGCTTATTCGAGAGTCGCGCTTATAAAAAAAATATTGGCGTGACACTTTCCATGATATGCTTGTTCCCATGTTAAAAATCTCATGTTCCCGTAGTTCAGTAGACCTATCCATAGGTCCTACGTCATTGTAAATAAACGTTTATAAAGAAATGCTTGTGTCTTTATTGTGTTATTTATTCATGGTGTATCATGGAGAAATATATTAAGATTCATTAATACGCACAGGGTAATAATCACTCTCAATTAAGCACCGCGGCGCTTAACAAAAAAAAATCAGGTTTGGTGTTGCGCTTATTCAAGCATTTAAGGTAATGTTATTGTTGTTGATGATGATGATTATGAAAAACAGATACAAAATCTCTTAAAAATAATAATACTACTGTATTGCACTACACAACTAATGCATCAGGATTCCCCGTGCCAAAATGGTTGGATCCAAGGCTAATTTGGTATGCAAAGTGTGACATCATTGATGGGTTTCTCGTGTAGAAATAACTTCCGTTTTGCGATAAGAAAAAATGTTGAGTTTAGTTTGAGGAATATACGTTTTGAAGTCTAAATTCTTACTTGATTTTGTACTAAACATTACTGGATAATAGAGTAATTAATATTAATTGGTAAGTTACATACATTGAATAAGGTTATTAACTATTTTTTTCAACTAATACGACGACAAAATTTAATCACCACCGCAAGTGCGGAGCCTTGATTATCAGTGGGTGAATAGGATAGGACCTTGACTCTCCGAGTGTGCTAAGGCCTAGGCTAGGAGTAGGACTATCTAGTATTTTGTATATACCGTGTTGCTGTGCTGTACTCTACTTACTGTAGCCTACGTTAGGCCATTAGTTCATTAATAGTAGCATCGAATGATATTAATATTGATAGTAGAGTATTCACATTTTTTGTAGCGAACCTTATCTCTTCATCACTAACTAAACACTATTCAAGATAACTTACTACTAGCCTAGGCCTAGTACTACTGCTACCGCCTAGGCCCTACAGGATATTTTTGCGCGGGAAATCCTTTGCACAGGCTTTGCTTTTCTGTATGCATTTCATGTGAGAGCTTAGCTTGGCATTAGTTCTGGTCTATGAATGCAGTGTTGATTTGTATTGACCATAAGTAGATAGGGCTAGATAGTAGTAGGCTAGGCCTAGGTAGGCTAGCCTATGTGGGATTAGTCCTAGGTAGAATTCGAGTCAAATTCGGCCCAAGTCAACTCGGCCCAAGTCAACTCGGCCCCATGTCAAATTGGCCCCAACTCAACTTGGCCCCCAACTCAACTTGGCCCCAAGTTAACTCGGCCGAGTTACTGTATATTTAAGAAATTATTACAATCCTGTTTAGCAGTTTTTTTATTTTTTCATAAGGAGTTTTTTTTTTTTTAACAATATTTGGCTTCAAATTAGCAAGCTTCCTGGTAAAACATTATGATGAGGTCAGACTAAAATTTTGATTACCTTGGTTGCTCATATCTTAAAAGAAATTTCAGCCCAACCCTAAATTTTGATTTCTCAAAAATAACCTCTGAGGCGTTTTGGGCGATCAATTTCTTTTTCTTACTTTCTTTTTTTCCCTTTTCTTGATTTTCCAAAAGGGAGGCCAGCCCGGCTCCTCCCTAAATCCTCCCCTGATAGAAATTAACCAATTTTTTATTCGCATAATCTGTGCATTTTAATTGGTGTGACTGTGTTGTTGGTATAATACACAGCGACAGGGATATATTACAGTTGTTGACTACTGTGTTACACTATCTTTTATGTACATCGTCTACAGTACTTTGCAAATAATGTGTATCAGGTGTGCAAATAATATGTACTACTGTAATTATCATACATACTGTAGAGTACAGTTTCACTAGACAGTAGTGCATAGTTTTGTCTATGAAAAGAGCCTGATGATCTGCCCAGCAACTATGCACTGTTGTTTTAAAATCAGTGCAGGTTCATGAAAAGCATATTAAAAATTGCCTACATTACACTGTGCAAAGGGTAAATTTTCAACACTGTATGCGCAATAATCAGCTATGCATACAGTACCAACTCAAGATATATTCACAGACACTGCTTGTGGTGTCATTAACTAACTGTAATTTACTGCAATGATATGCTTTGCTTCTGAAGTAAAATTTATGGGATTTGATTACACTGGAGGCCTTGTTTAGTGAACCTGCCGATTGCAAATATTGATGATTTTGAATAAAAATTAAATTTTATTTTTGGCCAGTTAGCGCACCCACCGCCACGAAAAAGTGGAAATTTCATAAAAAAACATGAAAGTTTTTCTTTATTTTTATTACGTCCTCCGCTGCCTTGAAATCTGCAAAGATAAGATGTATATTTCTTCCTAATTATATAAATTTGAAGCATTTAACCATCCTATTTTACATACACCAATAAAATGTTATTTTTATTTTCTTCACCGTCTGGACGATTTTGGCAAAACTATTTGCTAAATAAGAAAACAAAACTTTACTTTTATTTTTATTCCACCTTCCTCCGATAATATTTTAAAAAGTAAGTATGCGAAACAAGGAATACAAAACGTCAACAAACAGTAACCTCTATAGAAAATACCATAAATTTCAAGATATTGTTATTAATTTGAAGAGTACAAGTAACCTCTTGCCAATGATTGTCAATTGAAATTATACTGTAGTACAACCAAACATTGTGTGCCCACTCAATTTATTCTTTTCATTTTTTGTTAATAATTAATGTTAACTTGAATTTAATTAGGTCTGCCTATCAGTGGAAACTCAATAGAGACATTATATAGTGAACGTACTGTAGTACTATAGTCTTTAATATATGGTATACTGTACTATGCCCTTCAACTGCTACTGCTGGAAAGTTTTATTGATACTGTACCATCAGATTCAGATAACTTGGCCAAATAACAAAAAGTACATGTTTCTCATCTAAACTAGAACAAAAAAGGGTGGAAGAGGCCCTGGGTAAATACAATACTCTATTTATTTTATCATGGCCATAATTCTGTGAATTTTTAATCCAAATACACGTCTTTCCAGCATCATATTCTGACCTTTTCAAACCAACCCTTTTAAAAAAAATATATTTTCGTTTTTGTTGAAAAAACTAGCAGCCATTAGAATTTTCAACCAGCCAGCCCACTGTTGTTTGCTGCTGTTGTATAAATATTGTATTTCCAATTGGGTATAGTATTAATTGAACTATTACCGTGATAAAAGCTTATGAATATTTATGAGTTCTTTGAAACTGACTGCTGTGGAAAAAAAAAATTGTACATGAAATTAATATTTTATTGCCATATATTCACTAGGGTTCAATACTTGCATCTTTGGTACTGTAGATTATTCAAATAATTAATTTCATTTCATTATTTATCTGGTCTTTCAAACATTATGTACATACTGTAACAGAAAATGACAAAAAAAACCCTGAAATTTGGTGAGACCAGGGTCAACCAAAGTGAACCAAATCACTGTATACTGTATCCAAGTCCCAAATTCAGAAACACAAACAAACATTACACAAGATTAAATTAAAATAAGGAAATAACAAAATCAGTACATTACAGCGAATAAAAATAAATATTAACTTTTATAAGGAAAGAGGTTGGGCTTTCTCGAACTTCAGCATCATTTAACGATCCAGGCACGAGGCAACCTGGTGGCTACAGAGTTGAAGAGTAAAAGATGTTTGTTAGCAAAAATGAAAAGTTGTGTTCTGTGAAACTTCCCTTTAATTAACACACTGGGTAAATAAACTGTGGTTTTTTAAAGGAGGTTTTAATGTATTTTTATTTAAAACTGTCTCTTGAAACAAAAACAGATGAACTCATGTGTTGATAAACACCAACCAACACTGACAAAATTGTTTTTAAACTTTAGTGCAATACCATTACTAACCTAACTGTAAGAGTTACAGTATACTGGTTTACTCTCAAGCATTCAAAAACATAAAACGTGGATGATCATCTATAACAAAATAATAAATGTATTGCTGCATGTTTGTTAGTTGTTAAGGAAACTTGAATTTCAATTAAAGTAAAAGTATTGAGTTTGAATTTTTTAGAGCATGACACTGGCAGACACTGACAGTATATTTTTAATGGTTTCTGAATAGTTTCATTAAGTTTATGAATTATTGAAGGGTAATGATTTATGCATTTGTGTTAATTATTTGTAAGAGGAAGCATTTAGTTATATTTCTTTGTCCCTCTGTGTACTGTAGATATTCAATCTTCTTTTACCTATTTTGAAGTCTTTTGACCTCCATGGCATATGCAGGAATTCCTGTTCTTAATCCCCTAGCCAATCATGATGGCTGGTTTAGCGTCATTGCTTATTGATGGGACCGCACCATAATTATCTCAATAGGGACATGACAATGGGGTCTTTAATATATGACTTAAGTAATAATATAGGTTAAGATTGGCAGTGGATAAAATGGATCTTCAACTGTGTTGTGATTTTTAGGCAGTGAAATTCGTTGTAGTGTGAGTTTTTTTTATTAGTTTATTACTTTTAATAGATATTTATCATGTATCTGTTGATCAATCAAATTATATTCTTTTTTTTAAGCTCTTTTGTTACATTCTGTTCTGTTCAATTAATCTTTAACAATTACAAGAAGTGAATCAACAATGCCAGCTGGAATGTTGTCAACCAACCATACGTTAATTACTTGTAATTTCATTTGTTCTATGTGAGAATATTTATTACCATAGAAAGCAATGCATCCAATATGTATTGTCTCAGCAGGTACAGTATGCAAATTATTAATACCTTAGATGGGCAATTCCACGGTTTATTCACGTTACTTTTTAGACAAGACTTTTTTTATACCTTGTTTTGCGAACTTATGTTTTTAAAAGATCGTCAGAGGAGGTTGGAAAAATATGAAAATTTGTTTTCTTTTATAGTTTTGCCAAAAACATCCAGAAAAAGCCGAGAAAATATACATATTACTGTATATTTTTGGTGATTTTAAGGCAGGCGTAATAAAAATAAAGTGAAAAAACTATTTTCATGGCAGCGGGTGTGCTAATTAGCCAAAGTGAAAATGTTATTTTTATTAGATATCATCTTATTGGTGGGTGGAAGGTGAACACTAAACAAGGTATAAAAACAGTCCTGCCTTAATCACCCAGTCTCTTTTTTCTTTTTAATTTTAAAATTAATAAATACGATTCATTTTAAGTTGTTTAATACATACTGCACTGATTTTAGCCTACATTATACTGTATTAATTAATACAGTACATTACTAAATATTGTTGTCCTCTATGATAATGACAGTGTTGCTGTTGGTCCGCCTCAAATTTTATAGACAGTAAAATGACATCACGTCAATGTCTGCCAAATGTCTTGAAAAAGGTGGCTATTTGTATCACCCCAACCTTTACTAGGTGGGGGAGTCAAATACCAACAAGAGTACATAATCTTACTGTAAGTAATATTTAAAATTATTGAATTGCAAATCAATGACAAATATGTAATTATCATAACTTCCATAAAAACACAGATTGAAACGTTTTAGTGTCAGACTAATCGCACTATGCAAATCCGTAATTTGTATTACCAGCCAGGTTAATGGCCAATACAAAGAATATGTACTGCAGTACACGTCTGTTAATGGGCAATGAAAACACTTTCTCATTTAATGAAAGCTAATACTGTAGGAGTAATACTGAACCAGCTTAAAATATCAAACTGGTGTCTGCCATTTACAATAATTCATCAAATATTGGCAGAATGCCAGCATGTTAGCATACACATGCAGGATCAGATTAATACCTTGGAGGCAATGTCAATGTTGTAAAGCAATAAAGAAATATTATTTAATCATAAAACCTATTACCTTCATTTACTGTACTTTTTAACTCAAGCGCTTTTCTTATAGTTTATTTCATCAGGAAAAAATATTTTTAATATACAGTAAGTAATTAATATTAATATAATAATATTAATATTTTTTATTTTCTCCACTGCCTATATACTGTAGTAGGCAGATTAATATGGTAGACAAGTTTTTTTTTTTTTTTCACACTCTTTGGAACGGTATGTGGTACTGTATTAAAAAAGAAATATAGAACTCATTTATACTGTTATAATAGTTTTTTTGAAAATAAGCTCCCAAGCAAGTGAAAAAAAACCCGACTATATAACACAATATAGCATTGTGTTCCTGCAATACTCCATTATATTTTTTGTCTGGTTTTTTTCAAATAATTACTTCGACGATAAGGAAACTACAGTAACCGATATTCATGAACATTTTTAACTCAGTTGATTAGTATTATTATGTTTACATATTATGATTGAGTGCCTAATTATGAAGTATGGCATAGTATAATACATACAAGTATCGAAATTCACGCCATTGTGTCAGGATGCAATATTTCGACATTAATTATGTCATCATGATGATTTCGATTCTTGGAGAATGTATTATACTAACTTATCTGAGATTAATCAGTGGACCTTTCGGTTTTTATGAAGTATAGATTGTGTACTGTAAGTAATTATTGGATAATTATAAAACTAAAAATGACCAAAAACATCTGAATAGACTTCTGAATCAATAATTTCCTTTACAATGATGGAATGAACTGATCTGAGATTGTGTAGGTTCTCTTATTGTTGACCTGTTAATACAAAGAAATTTGAATTTGAATTGGTTATTTCTAAATTTCAAAGGTTAAGTATTATAATTCATTCAAAATATTTTTATATACACTGTTTTATGTCCCTACAGATTATTTCACCGAGCTATGCAAATATGTCGTCAGCAAGAGCAATTCCGAAGCCGTCGCCACATAAATCGTTATGGGAAGAAGATGATGTGTTATATACACAGAGGTCAACCAGTAAGAGTTTGCCTGTTCCAATTATGAAAAGGGATGTTGTGCCAGTGAAAAAGGAACAAACACTTTCACAACTAGATCAACAAACATGGACAGAATGGAAAGTAAGTATAAAGTACTGTAGTAGAAAATTAAAAGAAGATTTTAATAGGATTTGATATTATTTAGGACTTACTGTACAGCATACTGTAGGATAAATACATCTTTCAAATTGTTGTATATTTAGAGTACTACACAAACAACAAGAATAAGCCCTTTTTAAAGTTTTCCACAAGTTAGAATCAGTGGGTGAGATATGACTAATGACGTCATAATGTGCATATATGGACAAATCACTCACATTTGTCACATAAAATCTAATAGTGTGGGACAGAACTTAATTATAACTCTGGAACATGATTCAATATGTCACATGTGCATGTTAAAGAATGTAATGCACTCTTTAGAAAGGAATAGAGGATTGGCACCGGTGTACTGCCTATTTTACCACCAGCAGAGGGATCCCACTGGAAGTATGGCTTTGGACTGTGTCCTGGAAGTGGTTGGTGCAGTGGTTGTGACCCAGACCCTTGACCTCATGGGATTTGAGCCCTCGCTGAGTGAGTCCTTTGTGCAAAGCACTTTCTACATCTGTCACTCACTAATGGGTACCAGTAGATGTTGGGAAGGTAATCAGACTCGCTGTTAGCAGTAGGGGCAATCTCTCACAGCATTGCATAGTCTGGCCAAAACTCTAAAGAAAAAGTGATGGGCATTCCAGCTGATATAGGTTTGACCATGGAGGAATTAGTTTAAAAGGATATACATCAACCTTATCGCTTATCTTTAATCCAATTAAACAGTCAGCCAGCGCCTATTAAAATGCACTACAACCGCCCGTTGAGCTTATCGCAACGCTATCTCTTTATACACACAGCTCCTTGCCGCCGAAGTGTTAGCCCCTATAGACGCTCTAGCATTAGTGGCATTCGTAAAATACAATCAATCAAACATTAGAGACACAATGCATATGCGCAGTTCCTTATCCATGGTTCGTTGTATGAATGTTTTGTGTATTCAGGTAGAGTTATTTTTGGGGAGAAAGTAAATATTTTAAACGTTAAAATTGGCTTAAAATAATCGAACAAACAATCAAACATTAAAGACACAATACACATGCGCAGTTCATTATCCATGGTTTGTTGTATGCATGTTTGTTTTGTGTATTCAGGTAGAGTTTTTTTGGGGGAGAAAGTAAATATTTTAAATGTTAAATTCGGCTTAAAATAACCGTTTCTTTTTATCACTTGTAAGTATTGGCTTATTTTATTGTAACAACAAAAGTGATGTAAATAAATTTACGTTCGTAAAGGGTTACAATTGTCACCGGTTAATGAAATTTAGTTCTAAGGAAAGATTTTTCTTTCATTTGTACACGAGTTAACCGTATACGATCATGTCCGCTCAAGATACGATGCTCTAAAAAGTGGCCCAAATCTGTTCCACTAAACTAATTCCTCCATGGTTTGACTAACTTTTTACCTTTACTGCTGTGGAGCTATTTTTAAACATTGTTAAGTTGGACTGGAATGCTCATTACATTTGCCAAAGTTTAAATAGTTGTCTTTGAAATTTATGATAACATCTGTTGAGTTACAACATTTTTTTCTTTTCAGGGATTTTCTAAACAGCTTGATGAACTGACAAATTGGTTGTCTGACACCGTCAAACAGTTAGACAGCTGGAAAATGCCCTCGGATAACGTCTTCAGTTTACGTGTTCAACTTGAGAAACATTTGGTAAGAACAAGCTAAGTGATGTAATTCCAACTCTTTCAAATAGACGTAGATCCCAATATTGTGGTTATCAGTTTCTCTGTCAAGAATAAGTGTGTGTGGGTGTACAGTATGTGTTCGTTTCGTTCATAATTTTATTTCACTTAAAACTCAAACGTAATGCGTCTGGTAGACAAAAAGGGAACATGTCACTGTACAAGATGCCTACCAGAGTCCAAAAGAACAGTATATACCAAATTCTCTAGATTGTGTGTAGATTTATACCTGTACATTTTTTTGTAAATATTTTATTTTTTCCAAAGATAAAGTAATCCAATTGATAACAGAACATACTGTACTTTACTTGTACCAGCTACATTTTGTTTACCGGTTTACGGTAGCCTTGATACTGCAAATGAATGACACCCTTTTGTAATGTCTTCATTCATGTTTTTTTGTGATTTAGTGCCCAAATTCCTACAGTAGGTTTTTGCTGGTGCCATCCTTTCAAAAGTAATACATCTTTCTTGTTTGTGTTATTGATCCTGACTAAGATTGTTGCTTGTTTTTGTTTTTGTTTTTTGTTTTGTTTTGTTTTTTATCCATAATGATTCTTCAACATTTTAAGATCTTGATGCCCCACTTCGTTATATTGTAGGGTTTCAGAAATAAGCATAAATTTCATATCAAAAATACCAAAAATGTATAACAGGTTTTTACAAAAGTATGTATAGTAATACTGTAGGTTTTGGCAGATTTGTGGGTAATAGAGGACAGAGAATTTCTTGTTACTCAAGCTCGAATTTCTGGTGTTTGTTATATTACAGTAATTTGTGTTCTTCCATTCTGAATTATCATGTGCTTATTATCCAAAACAGACGTTTTCCTAATCATTGTGTGTGATATCCAATTTAATATAATACTACACAATTTTTTTAGTTTTATCCTTGCAGTAAACTAAGCCATATGTTTATACTGTATGCATATATGTATTGAAAGCAAAAGAATTCATCTGACATTATTCAGAAATTAAAAGACTGTTAATGTGCTGTTAGCTTCTAAAGCCTTTCTTATACTATAATGGTATGTAATTAAATGTACTGATGATTGTTAGACCAAATCCATCTACTTTACCTAAATACTTCACTCTCTGGGTTTTTGTTTTTTTCAGGCTTTTGCGCTGCAGATTGAAACCCATCAGCAAGAAAAGGAGAAGGTCATCACTTCATCAAAACACTTCAGTGGTTTCACACCACTGCAGCCATATCTGAATCAGACAATCAACTATATTGAGATGCAGTGGAAAGGTCTGAAGAAACAGCTTCAAAAACAGCATAAACAAATTGAAGAGGCCCTCACCGTTGCAGAGATGTGCATTTCAAATGGTTCACTTGACATTTTTGAGGTTTGTTGATTACTTTCTGACTTGGTGGTCTAGTGGTATGACACCAGGTTAATTACTAAATTGCGGGTATGATTCCCACTCCGTATCAGGCATGGGTAAGCAACATCGTTATTTAAACGATAATAAGTTAAACTATTTTACAATACTTTAATAACGGTTAGTACTAAAGTATGAATTGATTACAAGGAGGATGATTTAAGGACAATGATTTAAATCATGTTAATGGTTATAAAATTATTATGAAAATCAATGAATTTTGATAATGATGATAAAATGGGGACATATATGATGACTTTCATCATAAAGATGAAAATTATTAATCAAATGAAAAATTTCATATTCTTTTATTTGTTGTGTTCTAAATAGGAATATCACAGTATTTGTGGTTTCCAAAAAAAAACAAAAAACACTGTGTGATACTATTATATGTTTTTTGGTGATATAATAGTGATTAGTCTCATATATTTTTTTAGTAAATATGATTCTTGTTCTTTTATCCCACAGGGGGACAGTCTGACATATGAACAAACACAAGATGTTCTTGATCAAATAGGTCTGCGACTGAGAAGCCAGAAAACCAGTTTTAAAATGAGTGAAGAACTAAAGGTCGAAGGTGAAACAGAAAGCCAGCTATTTGGCAAAGGAGTTGGCAGGTAAATATTTTATATTCTTTATATTATAATGATGTCATTAGTGTAGGTTTTGTTCTTATTGCATGACTACCATTCTACGTTGAAACACCAGTTTCAGTACACAAAAATTGAGCACCCTTGGGCATGGTTTATGAAACTCTAGTGAGTTGAGTGTTCATGCAGTGTGGCAGAGGCATTACTATCCGTAGCCTTTATGCTTATTTGCACTGCACAACAGAAGCACATAAAAAAAAGGTGAAATAGAGCCCATTTATACATTGTGTGACAATGGAAGTCGCGCATACAATGTTTCTGGGCTCACCAATTGATCAAAATATTTGTTATCGCTCAAAAGTTTACAGAAATCGAAAGTGATTCTATGCTGACTAATGTGTCACTCTATCTCATAATCGGGTCGCGTGGATCAACGTAAAAAAAAAATGTTTGATTTTTTCTGTCTTCACTAGTCGCGCTGTGTTGTTAATGAGCCTTTTTGGTTTTAAATATCACTCCTTACCAAGGGCTCTAGTTGTTGGACACAAATCTTCTGAGACTGAGCCTATAAACTGTAAGCCCAGTGTACAAAACTGTCTTGTGGGCACTAAAAAGAACCCACAACATCCTTCAAAGAATAGTATTGGGTAATCGCGTTAAACTCGTTGACACAGCTAGCACCTACCTGCGGCTGTTAGACACAAAGTGAAGCTTGAGACAAGAAAATTGTTGAATGTCTTTGTGCATGCCAGTGATCAATTCAACCTAGTATAAATGTGAGTCACAGGTTATTCAACTACCTTTCTCCTACTGTGTTCACCAATTTTTTTTAATTTTTTTTTTTTATTCTTTCCTACTTTTTAAAATGGTTAGGTTCATGCCTTACAGTATAATAGTAAGAGAATACAACTGAATATATCTTATTATGCTCTATCAATTTTGGGAGTTTGTTTAGAATTAATGTTGTTCTTTTCAAAAGAAATATTGAGTGAATTTGATATGCTGACTTAATGATTTTATTGATTCTTTTGATAATGCTATCTGAATTAATTGTTATATTTCAGTGGAGCCAATAGCGGACTGATGGATTCTGGATACGGTTCATCGCCTGATTTTGAGGTACTGTATGAGGAGTTGAATGAATGGTTAGAGGAAATGCAGGGAGTCCTAACAGAGACCAACAAAGCATCGGTGTCACATGACAGGAAGGAACACATGAGTAAGGTGAGGGCACCAAAAAATATTCATTTGAATCACAACTCTTCTGCAACCACTTGCCAAAAGCGTGTTTTGTTTCCCATTTAACCACTGCATTTGATACATCTCCTAAGTGCCAACCTCTCATAAGCCACCTCTTGTAAGCAACTGCAAATATTTTTGGATTTATCTGTACTAATTTACCTCTGGTAAGCAGTCATTCCTGAGGTTAAGAAAAGTTAGCACACAGTTTTATTTGATTATAAAAGCCTATTAAAATTGTAATGATGACATAATGCTGTATTAATTATTTTTACTAGAGACCTCATATCATGTTAAGATTGGACCTCACATTGTGTGTATTCTTGTAGTAGGCGACTGCCTCTCATAAGCAATCGCTTTCACTGGACCCAAGAGTGGTCACTCAAAAAACTTTATATAGAGCATCATATGGAAATTTTTGTTTTCTTGTAGGGATTACTACATTATTGTAAAAGTCAGTTTTGGTTAGTATTGGTAATTCGAGGCCTAGGTACATAAATGAATCAATTTTAGAAACATTTATAAAATATGCAGATTTAAAAATTTGAGTTTGTTTTTCTCTTTTTAGAGTTACGATAGCGAACTCCAGATACATGACATCACAAGAAGTTACTTGGAAGACAAAGCTGTATGCATGAAGACTTCACAACAGACGTCTAATGCAGGCGATAAAATGACCAATGTCAATACAAAGTGGCAGAAGTTAGAAAGAAGTATCTCTTGCAGTGAAAGTAAAGTGCAGGATTCTAATCAGCTAGATAACTCAGCAGTCAATTTTGAAGAAGAGACACCTGTAGAGAAAGAAACCTCTATCGGAGAAATAGAGGAGATTTTCTCCAAGCTGAAGGGATGGTTAACAGAGACGGAATGTAAGCTGTTTGCACCTGAGAGCAGGAGGTGTCTGGGAGATGTGACGCATCTGGAGAGGAGACTTGATTTACACAAGGTATGTTTATTCTTAAGGCGGTTGTCATAACGTATAGTCAGTAAAGGTGGGAGAGTAACCCCATAACTCGCAGAGTCATTGTGCTGAATTGCGTGTGAGCGAGGTCTGTGACTACTTAGCCGGTGTAAAGGAGCACTTAAATTAGCTACGTGTTCACATGATTCTTTAAAAATGCATACAAGTCGTATGTATACAGTGGACCTCCATTTTAAGTCCTTATCCAAGAAGACTTGGTTCTACCAACTGAACCCTGGATTAGGAGCAGCTCGAACCAGCACTGATGTTTACCGCTCGGCCACTCAACTCACTATTACACATGTGCTGCTGATCTCATTTTATTCATTCGACTGGGCTGCCTACTGATGTCTACATCTACGCTACTTGTGGTTTGTCAATATATCAATTTCTAGAACAAATTCTTTTCTGAAATCTTAAATATGTAGTCTGCTGCCCTCTATAATGCATGCATAATGCAATATATAATCTAATTTCCTAAGAGAATGTGACTTGGGAAGTATTTGGATACTTTCACCGCCATCACAAACTATCTGCCCTCATTCAAAACATTTTTCTTCACTGTGTATATTGGGAACTAGATAATAAATGCCTCTCTTCCTAATATCACTAAATTGTATTTATATATAAATAATCCAAATTATAGATTCTAGTGTTTATATACGCAAAGAACATGAAGAGCCACTTGTTAATAAGAAAATATTAGTAATTGAAGTTCCTTAAATTGTGATGTTTCATGCCACCTGTAACTTTGGTTAAAAGGAGAGCCAGGACTCTAAAGCGATAAATTTACGAGTAAAGTTTATGGTCAGCTACTTGGAATATTAAATCAGTATCATAAAGTTGCACCTAAGCCAGTTTCAACTAGATGTAATAACAGGGCATGGTAACAGGAGACAAATCTTAAGAAAGAATAGGATGACAAAAATTGAAGAAAGAAAAACAATAATAACATAGAAGCATAAAAAAAAAAGTACATTTATATTAAAATTATGAAAAGAGTTGTTAGCCTCTTTTTAGAATCAATTATAATATATAGGAACATTACCAATAAACATAGTGCTAATATGCAAAAACTCATGTAAGGAATTTAGTAGAAGAGGTTTTTACTGTTGTAGCCACATGCCATTACCGTGTCTAGAGAGAATTGTCCATAGAATTAAAACAAGATAAATCTAGAGAAACAGTTCAGTTTTAAATACAATTTATTTGTTAGAATGAGTCTTTCATGTCATTTTCTATTTCAAGTTACTGCTATATCTTTTGTTTGTGCCATTTGGCACATAAAGTCATACATTTTCTATTGATGTGTATATTTAGTTTTTACGTTTTTGTTTTTTAGGCTATTCAAGAGGAAATAAATGACCACAGTGAAAGTGTTGATACTGTACTTGCCTTGTGTGATGCTTTGCAAGAGGACAACGATAGTGGTGCCACCGAGAGAGAGAAGGAACACCTGCAGTTGGCAGCTATCAATCTGGAGCGTCGGTGGGATGCCATCCAATCTCAGTCAATTGATCTGCAGTGTGGTCTTGATGAAAAACTCAGAGTTTTTAAGGTATGTTTTTGAACCACATGTAATTGTGAAATAGTTGGTATTATAAATAATTTGTCCCTTGGTCCTTGACAAATTTTACGATATCTCACACTCATGATTATGATTTTTTTTTTCCCTCTAGGGTGTCTTTAGTGCAAAAATCACAAAAGACCCATTGGAAAAATCCTCAAGTGAAAACTCTATGAAAGATGATGCTGAAACTTCAGCAACTTCAATTCTCATTGCGCCATCCAAGTTCTATGGAACTCCCCGAGCATATCGTCCAACTAAATCGCAAGACGATGTGGCCATCTACAGATCAAACGAGAAGTACACAAGTCCGTATGCCGTCAATTATGATGAAATTTTGATGATTCGAGAAGCGTTCTCTGAGAATGATGCTTTCAGTATTAGTGACATCTCTGATGTTGCAGAAGATGACTTTGAATTTGATGACGTTCTGCCCTTAAAGAGGTCAGAAATGTCAAAGGAATTGTCAAGTGATGAGGAAGGAGATCTGGACATCAAGGATCTCTCAACATGCTCTCCTATTGTTACAATCCCAAGAAGATGTTCTCCAACTGTTGAAGGATCCACATCTGATGTCGAATTCTGGTCAGTGTCACCAAAAGATGAAAACATGCTGGATGGATTGAGAAGAAATGAGGTTCAGCCTAAAATAATCAAAGCAAAGCAATCAGACCCTATTGCAGATTTTGAGGTTCTTGAGGAATTTGATAGCATGACAGATGCCTCACAAGATAGTTTCAACAATGTCTTCATTCTGCCACTATTCAATCCAGATGAAGATAATGACCTGATGGCAGATGATGAAGAAATTCTGTCCATGATCAGTGACTTTGAAGCAGATATGGAAAATGCAGTTGAAAATGTCAAAGCTGATCATCTGATAGCAGAAATTAAAGAGGTGTTCCCAATTGAAGCTGAGACAGAGTGTAGTACAGTCATTGAAAGGTCAAGTTACAAGGTACCTTGCTTCACCTACACTGAAAGTTCTCCGAACACAAACAACAACAATAATAAAGATGAAGACAGTAGCAGTGATGAAGAGAATGAAGTCATGATGACTAATGAACCTGTCCTAACCAACCAAGAACAAAGTGATGAAGTTAACATGTTTGATATTTGCCCATCACATGCCGGTACCAAAGGGGATGCTGGTCTGGACAGATCAAAATGTGATTGCTCTGGAGATGAGTCACCAGAGTCAAAGTCTTTCCGGTGCTCTAAAGGAACTCCAGCAACAGTATATCACAATTTGACTGTCTCACCAGACATCGCCAGAGAACCACAAGAAATTAAAGGCTTTAAATGTCCAGCATTTGATCCACTGTCCATTAAATCACGTAATGTGTCAGACATGCGGAGAAGGTTCTCAAGTTCGTCAACCACCAAACATGATGATCTGATGGAGATCAGTGACATAAGCTTAGTGCATATGATAGAGTCTGTCGATCATGCCACCCTTCTTGCAAATTCTCTATGTCATTTTGGAAGAAACACTACAACTGTTGAAGGTACTGATAGTATACCACAATCAGAAGATAGAAGCTGTGAACCAACATCCAATGACACAGAAAAAGCTTCGGTTGAACTGGAACAGAAAGAAAGTGATGTTGAAGACCAAATAAAAGGAGGTGAGAAGCAGCAGAACCAGAATGTAGCAGAGGAGGAGGATGAAGACTTTGATTCTGTGTGCACCACTGACACATCAGAATTACTTGAGGCTCTGGAAGATGTCATGGATGAATTAGCTCAGTTGGGGAATGAACAAGTTGGAGACTTGGATCTGGAACCTCTTATTACTGATGTTTATTGTTCTCATCAATCAGTTGACCTAAGAAGCAAGGTTAGTTGTTTTTCTTCGTTTTCATTCTCTCAAAAACTGAATTCCTATACAATATATGATGATATTATGTATTTGAACATTTACCCCTAAAATTAAAGACAAAATAATTACATAAATTCATTTGTATTTATTTCTCAAACTATGTATTTTTTTTATTTGTCATAATATAACAGGCCGTATTATACACTTATAAAATTGTTTTTGTTTATAGTAAATTGTATTATAGGGTTATATATAGCAGACAGCAGTCTGTTTTAGAGAGAATTGTCCAAGGTTCTTTTCCCCTGGCCATAGGACAAAGCTTCTATCGCATACACAATGAGCAACCTTCAAAGCTCCCTGGGGTGAACTCCTAGTCATGGGTGTAATTCAGCATTACAAATAAGGTGGGACTTTTTTTGTACCCTGTTTCGCGAAACTACCGCCAGCCAGTATTGAATATTTTGAATAAAAATAACATTTTATTTTTGGCCAATTAACCCGCCGCCAAGAAAAAGTATAAATTTCAGAAAAAATAAAAGTTTTCCTTTATTTTTATCATGCCCGTCGCTGCCTTAAAATCTCCAAAAATAAGATATGTATATTTTTTTCTAATTATATAAAATTAAAGCATTTAACCATCCCATACAACACTGTTTACATTCAACACTAAATCATCCGTCTAGTTGTTTTTGGTAAAACTCTTTACTAAATAAAAAAAACTAAATTTTATTTTTATTTTTCTTCTTCCGTCCTCTGATGATCTTTACACAAGTATGTTTGCGAAACAAGTTATTACAAATTCTCGCCTAATTTACACCCTACCAGATATCCATTGATAACTATTTGTGAAGAAAAGTAAACTCAAGTTTTTAAAAATAATGTTTCTCTTCCCATGGGTTTAAAATTTACATTTTTTTTTCTGATTACATAAAATTTACAATACATGAATTTAAATGACATAATGATTAAAGTATATAATGTACAAAAGACTCAGAAATTGGGTATATAGATTACAAATTTTGGCAATTATACATACAAAGATAATTCACTACAACATTTAGGTAATAAGATGTTATAGAATATGGGGAAAATGCTGGGATTTAATAAATTGTATAATTTATGTTTATGATTGTTATTTCATTCCCAAATATTTATCTAATTCCAGAGTTTATTTTTTCTATGGAAAAGAAAGGGGAATAAATTATCAGTCATGAGTAATTTATGTTTTATGAAAATATTTATTATGCATTGGCATTGGGAATATGTAGTCTTATAAAAACCTTTTTTTTACCTTTGCAAAGAATGTAGATAATTGGCTATTTCTGCATCTACTAATCAAAATTGTTTGTGAGTTATGTTTGCTATATATAGAGTTTTAAAATGTTTATTCCATTGGGAAATACATATCCAAAACTGACACGAGTATGTTATTGTTGTTAATGTTTAAAAGGTAACAATTGCATTTAATAAAATAATATGCCTCATAAAATAGGTTTATCTCAACTGTTTTGTTATTTCCTAACTTTCCCTAAAGGATTGTTTTGGCAACAGTTCTGCATACTCCCAGACGGATTCCATGGATAGCGGAATTTTTACAGGAAATGAAACGGTAAGTGTGGAAAAACTTAATAATTATCATAAATAATAGAAACAGTTACATTAATAGATGATTGACGTGAACTTGCTTGTTTCTTATTGACTTCAAAGATAGTCAAAATAAAATAAAACTCAATAATAATGGGCAAAACTAAAAATATTTTTCATTTGTTTGATCGGTGACAATACATTTTTCTTTATTCATGCCTTATGACTATAACACAATGATATTGATGTTGACTAGTATAGAATTTAGTTGACTTTTCCTTTTATTTCACTATATATCTTTATGTATTTCTTACTTGTTCGAAGGTTTAATATATTTTATAAACTAATGTAATTATTTATTTGAATTACAGTAGCATGCTTAATGAAATTTATAATAATGTTAATATAATGTATGATAATATCGTATTTGGTAGCTACCTTTGTTAGTAGTCACATTTTCAGGTTCAATTATTGTTTTCTTTCTGTCTTTTACTTCCGTTTTTTTTTTCTGTCTTCTCTCTTTCTGTTATCTGCTTTTCCTCCTTGTATATATTTTTCTCTCCTTGTGTACTGTTTTCTCCATTTGTTCCCTTTTTTTTCCCTCAATTTTGCACATTCAGACTTAGTATAATCTGCCTGTATAAGTCAAAATTTGGAATAGATATACTGCTAGCCAAAAAATCACGTCAAAAACACTTTCAAATCCATAAAAAAAATTGCTAATTTCAATTGTTTTCAGATATTTTACTAAAAAAAAATATTTTTTGACAAATTTAATTATCAATGCACAGACTGTAGAAATGATATTTTTAAACGTCGTATTTAAACGTGATGTTTTTAATTGGCATGTAGCATTTTTTCCTGGCTCTTATTTTTTGTTGAAAGCTATAATAACTTATTGATATTTTGAATGTAAGCAATTTTTTTAAACAAATTTCCAATGTTTATTTGGTTCATTTAGCAGTATTATATCTTAAAATGTACCTGTGTGTCGGTTTCCTTTGTGAAAAGATATACTGTATATCTGTCTCTTATACACATCTAGATGTGTATAAGAGACAGGATAGAAGCTGTGAACCAACATCCAACTTAACTATGTGTTAAAAACTATAAAAGCACTGGATATCTCTACAAAGCATTTTATATGCTAAGCTACTTATTCTTCTTGAATTAAATTTTTGTTAATGTTGATTTAAAACAACTCTCAATAAAATTTTCTTCTGGGATGTGTTTTTTCTTTCTCTAAACTATAGCAATTTCCATGTAAAATATTCCCTTGTGATTTTCATGTGTAAACAATCTGCCAGTTTTGTTGCTGTTTAAGTCTAACCGCAAACATATCTGTTCAATAATTACATGGGAATTGTCTTGTTCACAAACATTGCCTTTATGTTCCTTTGTTTCGTGGGTTATCAAAAAAGCATTATATCTGCGTTCCGTTCAGCTTTCTTATCGTGCATAACAAAGAATATTTATTCATGCTTTGTTATAAAGATTATCATGATGCAGCTTTAACAAGTAGTAATATACATACGCATTGTGATATTGTTATGAGCCATTCGTTAATGAGAACAAATTATGTTTAAATGTTTGCTAAATTTGATTTATTATTGTGTTGACTCCGCAAAAACAGCAACATAATACGACTGCTTTAAAATTTAGTTGAAAAAGTTAGTATACAAAGTAAATGATAATGTTGTGCATGGATTGTGTGGTTCTAAAACTGTAACCTTCTAATATATTGTGTAGTGAATAAATAAAGGTTTTTTTATGATCATTTATAAGACAACCTGTCTGTGTATACAATCATAACTCTTTTTTATTGATTTTATTGAATTTCCCTGCTTTCATGGTATTTTCTATTGTATTTGCAGTGTACCGAGTCAACAAGTACTTTACCATCTCTAGAAGAAATGACAAATGAACAAGGAACACCAGAAAATGATGGAATAAATGAAGATGATGTCAATTATGAGATTGAAGAGGATGAAATAGACAGGGATGTAAATGAAGAAGACCTGATTAGTGAAGTCGAAGAACCTGTGGATGAGGACTTCGACCAATATAAATACGACGATACTTCAAGTAAAGAGAGTACGCCTGGTTATATGCCCCTTGCACGCCGGGTCGTCAAATATGCTCTCCCGATACAGATATTATTGTCTGTGTATATGATCCTCATCCTGGTTATCCCCGCAGTCATTGAGACATCCGGTTGGGAATGTTCCTTGTCCATTAATAACAAGGCATTCTTCGAAAGCCTGGCTTGGAATCCTGTACTTAAGTACATTAAGGGGCCGCCTCCAATGTAGATTTAAATATACTGTAATAAATTATATATGAATTTATTTGTAAATATTTGAAAGCTATGCTCTCTTTAAATTTGTCACATTATGTGTATGAATCAATTTTTAAATACTGTATCTTTAGTTTAATTTATTAAAGGAATGCTATGTCAGCAATAGTTTAAAATTTGCATGGTTAATTTCTCCTTTCTCAAAAATAATTATTGATTACAATAGAATTTTCAAGTTGGCCTACATCTTGTGAATGGAGACCTAGTTTGGATGATACTGTGGCCTGTATTTTGTCTCCCATTCAATGATCCCTTACAATCTGAGATGAGCGCGTGGTCAGAAGCGCTTAAGGAGAATGCCGGCCAATGATGAGCCAATATACGAATGTATTTTGCCTGTTAATGAGATATGCATCAAGACTCTGAAAGCCTGGCTAATGGCTACCTACTGTTCCACCGAAGATACCTAACGCACGACCCTAATTTTAGCATTGTGTACTAACATTAATTCATCATGCATTCATCTACCCATTGTGTGCTTTACTTTCAACTTATCATTTCGTGCTTAGTTCATCTGGTCATCGCATGCTTTAATTCACCTACTGATTTCTTTGCGTAGTTCACCTATTTATCGTCATCCTTCTAGCTTATGCAGCGAGACATCTCTGTTTATGTACGGCCTGTGTATCAGTCATTTTGCGTTAACTCATGCTTTCTGCTAGCTTGCTGGCTGTCATTGTCAATTTTCCTCTGCTTCTGCAATCCTGACTTCTCTTCCTTTACTTAATGGTACTGACCAAGCTAAAAAATTTCCTCTGACGAACATTGTCAAGTTCGAGAGGTGCTCAGAATTGATATTGCCAAAATTAATAGCATGCATTTCTTTTGAAATATAATCACGTTTTGTGTTTAACAAATGCTTTTATTTTTAAATTTATTTACGGATTGGGTTTGGTAATCTCTTTATTTTATTTCCAATATATAATACTCTATTAATCTTTGATATAGCATGTGTAATTTAATTTTTATATCCAATCATCCTTCCCTTTTCTTTCACATGCAATTTCTGTTAACATCCTTGGTCCATGACAATGCACATATGTTTTAACTTTATATCAATTTCACTCAAATTTACTTACTCTCCTTGAAATTTAATAATAGTAATACCATGCTTAATCTCCAATCTTTCTAATGTGTGCTCTGTATTCAGATTAACACCATATTCATCTATGATATCTTATTAATATGTTTCGCTTATTGCTACTAATTGTTGTACCTTACTAATGAATGATTAAGGTTCTTCTTGTGTGGTAGTAGATGATGCCAAATATATGTACCGCTTGCTGGTTTTGTTGCATATTTCTAAAAAAAATCAGGCATGCATTCTCTGTTGGTTAATCAGGCTGGCATTTCTTATAGCACTTCTGAATCAGGTAAGTAAATTGTGTATTAAGTATCATATGAATGGAACAATATGCAGGCGAACATTACACGATAAATACAGGTATTCAGGGATGTAGAGAATACTTCTCGGCAATTCTCGAGGGCCCAGTCTGAATACAGCTAACCATAAACGTGAAATAGCTGTCAGATTAACAAGTCGTCCACATCAACGACAAATCACTAATGGTCAATTTCAAATAAATTACATTTTGGATCTGTTTTAGAAGGAAATTCATATACTATTGCTTACATACAGTATACATTTTTCAATCAATTTGCTCCAGCTGTTTCAATTTATATGTAGTCGACTTTTGAAACTAGTTCTTTTATTAAGTTCTGGTATAGTGTACAGTATTGTGAAATATGTTGGTTTTCAATGTGCATGTATTCTATTTATGAAATCATTCTTTTATTAATATTTGGTTTAAAGTATTGTGTAATATATTATTATAGCTGATATTATAGCAACTTACAATACAAGTTTAACAGGGTTTATTTTTGC